TGTCATTAGTAGATGCTCTGGTTAACATTTTGATATTTGTCTGCAGCATAATATACGGTTCCTTCAAGAAATTCTTCAGAATCGGAAGTCAGATTTCCTCGAATGGCTCATTATTATATTGATAGGTGCAGAGATCCTCATTTCGGTTTATGACATTGCCCATAAGTCGTCAATTGCTCTGTAGGTTTAGCTTCTGAAGTGTTGGAAATTTGAAATAACACATTGCACTCTAGTTGTGGCCTGGAGTTGCTGTACATATGAAATCCTAAAAAAACACATCTACATGCTATACGGCACTTGGTCTATCTTAATTGTAAATGCATGGTCACTTTATTACAGCAGGGGAGGTACATCATTTAAGCCCAGTGCCCCAATGTAGGGGGAATTTGATTTAGTGGAAATTGATTGCATTTTTGGTGCCTTTCTCCTGTAAGTTTTGATATTCTTTCCTTTTTTTTTTGTGTTTTGATTTTTGCCTCTCTTAATTTCTTTTAGAGAATTTTACATTTTCCAAGTGACGACAATGAAACGCCGGTGGTGCCGTTTTTTTTTTGTTTGGTTAAATACTTTGTGCAAAAGTATACATGAATGCACCCTCTTCTGTAGTTCTTTTTGGAAGAGATATTCAATTTTCCTTGCAAGAGAATCTTCTTAGAGAATTTGAGTTTAGAAAGCATCATATAATTATTAAGTGGTTTCTTCAGAAATCAAATGCAAACAATTTCAGAGAGAAAATGCAATCATATCAAAGACATGTGTGCTTCTAACAACTGGATATTATGAGTCTAAATACTCTTCTATTATATCATTTTCATCCACAGAGAAGAAGAGTCATAATGCATCATCAAAGAGAATGATCTGCATCCATCTATATCGAATGCAAATTCAATATGTTCTCAAAACTAAAAGCATGTTATAGGTTACTCTAAGGTATGTAATGTAATGTGAAACTTTTTATGTAATTTAGATATATCTAGTTAAAGTTTACGTGTTAACTAATCCTGGATTCTTGTCAGGCAATCCTAGACAAAAATGTTACATATTTGACATCCTACTAGCTGGAGTTTTGAGAGATACATTATCATTTAGCTCTCATTGAGTAATTCTATTGTAAAATCAAATTGCTTTTTGCCATATTCCTTCATGTTTCATATGATATTTTTGTTCTTATCAAAGCAACCATCTCATGTGTGCATTAAACATAGGTTTCTCTTGATCATCATACCGTACTTCCACATATCTACTTAGATTTGACCTTCTCGAATTCATGAAGGGACTTCTCATAATTAGAATTTCTCTGTGGAAGGTTCAGTTTGTTATTCTTTCGGATTTTCTTTTTTCACATTGCAATCGTACTTGGCAAAGAGCCGATTTATGAAATAGCATTTAGTCGGATTCACATCATTATACTCGAAAAAGATAAAATTAGGAAGCAAAAAGATAGGAAGGGTCCCTGTTAGGTGCCAAGGCATTTACTTCAGTGGCTTGGGATCCTAGTGAAGAAAATGTTCTTGGCATCATAAGGTTTTAACTTGGTTGCGCTTGTGTTTGAGTTTTATACATTGACTGTTTAAAATATATTTATACAATCAAGTCTTTTGTAAAGCAGTTACAAATAAATCTCTATGATACGTATTAAGTGATTGATAACTTGAAAAAGTGATAACTAATATGTCGCTACAAGTTGAACTATATACGCTGATAGTGTAAAAGATATTTATATGCCAGTATATAGGTCGCACCACAACATGCAGGTTTGGCACCTTGGCAAATGACGCCACCGTCAGCAGTCAGCACCATGACATCCAACTTTTGCTCCTTGGCACATCTTCTCCAATCTCTGAAATAGATTCTACTATATCCAAGTTCTTTATGTTAATCTTTTTGAAATTTTGCAATTCAAAATTAGAGGGCCGTGACTGGCATCAGACAACATAATCCTTCGCTTATAGAACTCGTAAAAAGTAACACCTGTCATGCCTCATTAGTCATTACTATACCAAGGGGACACGCCCTAAGCCAAAACTATATATGACCATTACTTGGCAATCTTTCAAAATGTGGGTTCTTAATCCATTCACATACATAATACGTTCGACATGGTTCTACGCTTTTTAAATATCCAAAATACATAAACTAACTCCCACAGTCATTATGGATCTCTAAGGATATTAACAAAATGGGACACAACCCGTAACAAACGTAGTAAAATAATTGGCCTTCACGGAAGTAGAGTGGAAGCTAACCACTGCGACTGGGATAAGTAAAAGCGCATGCTAAACTCGGCACATAACCTGTGGATCAAAGGTAATGGAATGAGTCTTACGCGCTCAGCAAGTCTCATACGTATTGTTTGACCCAAAAGATATCGAAACCTTCTTGGATTAAATCAATTAATGAAGATAAAGAGGTAAATCTCAGCTAAGTGTAATAAAATCTAGATTGAATAGTGTAAGAGAAATACAAGGTGAATGATGCTTGTTAGCGTATTGGAACCAAATGATTACTCATACATGCGAGAATTTCAGATGTAAGAGAATACAACAATGAATGCAATTAGTCCCCCTTTACAGAGTGTTCTCTCTCCTTTATAGGGGACAATCCCCCTTTTTACCCTAAAAGAAGGTACAACACAAGGAATATTCGAAAGGCATATTCCCATTATTTCCTATCATGCAAACACGACCACAGACGTGCATTCTCTAGCCACTGTTAGTTGTCACTCTTATTAACGATCCAAGGAAGCGGCATCGTAAGGAACTCGCTCTTTGCTACACTCGGTATCGGTCGTGGTCGTCTAAATTTCGACCTATACAGTTAGTCCCTCCGCTTGTCGAGGTCGCGACCTGGGGTGTCCTTGATAAGCGGACGTCGCCCATAATTACGAAGAAATTTGGTTTGCAAACCATGACGATTTTGGCTGATGACGGAAGAACGGTGCACTTCGCTATACCCTGGGCGGTGTGTTCTATTTGGGAAGTGACGTCACTTCCACGTGCGTCATCATTGTGCATCTTACCGAGGCAGAGATTGATGGCCTGTCGCTTTAGTTTTGCTGCCACGAGAAGCCTTTTCACTTCGATTCTGGCGCCACCCAACCCTATAAATAGGGGAAGGGTTTGTTTATTCAAAAACTTTTGGCCATTTCTCTTCTGATCATTCCCTTTCGCATTTTTAGCTTTGCTTCTGCGATTTTCTTTATTTCCTCTTTCTCGTTCATTGTTCTTGGTCTCTCTCGTTTCATTAGCACATCTTCCTCCATAGACATGCTTAGAACACACCGATCACGTGAGGGGATTTCTGACGCCACTCTGTTATCCGTGGCGCTTCCCATTGGTAGTGAGGACGCGATGGCTGGGGAAGGGGATAGTTTTTCCACCGTAGACGAGTTGTTACCGAGACACCCCATGTCTAGAAGTGACTTCCTCAAGGACCTTGCTCCTACTCCCACCCCGGTAATATCTGAAATCGAGTAGGCCCATATAAATACCTTGCGTACCAAGTATAGCATTCCCCCTCACATCGAGATGGTTCCGATGGGGAGGGACCTCGTGGAGGTCCATAGATCGGAGTACTATGCTTTTTATGAATACCCTTTTGTAATCGGTCATTCCTTCCCCCTTCTTACGTTAGCGGAATAATTCTATCAGTTTTATCGAGTTTGCACAGCGCAATTCTCTCCGTACACGTATAAAATATTTTTGGCATTGACAAAATATGCGGAGTTGGCGGGGTGATAAGTAGATATTCACCATCTCTTGCACTTATTTCCCCCCAGTTTTCATAGGGGTACTATGGTACATTTGAGGCACCATGGAACCAAAGGGTTGGTGGTCGAAACTAACGACCGGGTGAGCCGTAAGTTTTGGCACAAGTATTTCTTTGTCAGGACTGAGCATATTATGTCAGACCCCGCTGGATTCCCGGAGCGGTGGAATAATAATCGAAGGTGTCGTAACTTTTTTACTCTTTCTTTTGTTTTCTGTTCGACTTAGTGCTTATCTGCGGCTTTCTTTTGCAGCTGTGAGGCATATACCCCATCCTATTGTCGGTATAAGGGACTAGGTATCCCGTTTACTAGATCACGCAGTGGAGACTCGGGACTGGCCCGCTTTTATGAAACATTTTGGGCCGAATGTCTCATCTGGTAAATATTTTTCCTTTACATTACTTTTCAGATGTTTGCCATTATCTATTGGTATGACTTTTTGTGATGACAGGTTGTGGCGCTTCTAGGCGGAGGGTCCCAGTTCCTGCATTTCGCAAGCCGTCGCCTCGACGGGGATGCAATTTATTTTGGATGATTCCGTCCGAGAGGGTCGTGATCCACCGATACAGGTGAGAGATTCCTCTCAGGATATGGTCATGAGGGAGGAGATTTCTTTACCAGCCTATCGCCTCTTGGACGAGTCTTCTAACGCGGACGAACCTTCACTGAGAAAAAATAGGAGGGTAGAGCTCGGGAAAGACATGGCCGTTGAGACTGATAAGATTAGGATGGGTGCGTCGGGGACGACACCTGTACCCGCTTTTACGGCAGACACTATCTTGGCGGGGAGGTCTCCCCGGACGGAAGAAGTTTACCAAGGAGGGGGATCTGTGTGCTCCAGTGAGGGTGGCGCGTCGTCTATTGTTGGAGGCGGCTTACGTGTAGAGGACGACGACTCGGGTTCGAACGTCGACCCAGGGGATGTTCGAGAGTTTTTAGAGCGCCATACTCGCGTAGAGGTCAGAACGGAGGGTTCTGATCAACATATAGTCATCCTCGGGGACTACGACTTGCTGTTGAACTATGATCAGTTGGCATCCGTTTTCGCCCCTTTGTGTGTTGCCCCTGAGAGCGAGGCACTTAGAGTAATGAGTAATGCAGAGTTGTCACAGAGCGTTTCTGGCATGGCTTTGTGGGTAAATGTCTTTCTTTTCTTTTAGTCGTTGGATCTGTCTTACTATTTTTGGCCAATCCTTCCGTTTTAACTTTACTTTTCATGTCAAACTCTCATCATGGAGATTGAGTGTGAGCGCCGAGAAAGTAGGAGGATGACCATCTATGGAAAGATGTCTTCTAATTATCAAGAATATTGTACCAAGCATCGTGCGATGGCCGACATCTACAATCAGGATCGCGACTTCCAACTGTTCTGCGAAGGTCTCAAACAGAGAGAGGATCAATTGGCGCGTAAGGTCGCGGAGCTGAAGGAATGAGACGAGGACCTTATGAAGGCCGTTGCCCGTAGTAGTGAGCTCGAAGCTTCCCTTAAAGTCAGGAAAGATGAGCTTGAGTTTAATAGGGGAGTAGTGGCCGAAAATGCCGACCTCCAAGCAAAGGTGGCCAGTCTAACTGCCGAATTGGACATGAAGACAGTGGTGGTCGATGAGCTTAAGGGAGAATTGAGCGTGGATGCTGATAGATTGGCCCACGCCGAGAGGGAGAGGGAGACTGTCATCTCTGAGGAAGTGGTTTTAGAAGAT